ATTCCGGAGAACATTAGTTCATCGACCCAATATCAATTTTTGATTAGACCAAGTCATTCAACTTTCTTAAAATAAATTTGAATTTTGTTGGTTATGCGTAACTCATTGTTTTTAAACGGTAAGCTGTGATGTCAAACAATACACCGTACTGGAGGAAAACCCGCTAGATGTTTTCCTCGATATGTTTGCTGATTTGCTTCAGTTATATAATTAATATGTTAAATAAGGAAGAACATGCATGATAACAACATGCTTTTTCTTCAGGTGTGGTAAACTTTTTGTGTCCTTTCGTTTCTGGCAACAAGGGTTAATTCGGTCACCTAAATATAAAGTTTTATTTTATTCTGGCATTAAAATTGTTCTCGGACACTATTTGTGATGTAAAAATTCAAAAACAAGCCAAAGATCGAAAATACAATTAAAAATACGGACCAGTGTTGATATATTTGATTTTTTTGTTTCTTGAATCTTTGTTGTACTTATCTTGAATTGTTTTGGGTTTATTGGTTCAGTAAAAAAAAAAGGAAACTTGTTATGATTTACATAAGGATGGATGTCTGGCTGCTGACCAGCGAAACGTCATGAATTGAATACCCTGTGTTTTTAACCGTCCCACGTGGACGGAAACGCCAGCTGGCCAAAATTAAAAAATTAGATTTTTTTTTTGAAATGGAAAGTTTAAACGTGTAGTGGTACCCCTAGCATTAGAAACACGTTAATACGGCCGGGTTCACTACCGCGAGGAATTACTATTGCGCCAGCTTCAAACGTTTTAGCGAAAAAGAGTCTGTCATAAAAATGGACGCAAGAAAGAGACAATAAAAAGGTAGGTAATTAGTAAATAATTTGATAAGAAGCCCGCGGTGGGTGCTAACTGTGCAAGGAAAGAAACGTTTTTCAAAACGCGAAGTAAAAAGCCTTTAATTTGGCGTTGTCCGTTGTCCGGTTAAGCTCTCTTTTACAAATTTTATGATGATGTTTAATGATTTTCTTTGGATAGAGAAAATAATTTTGGATAGCATAAGAAAGATACTTACAAAATGTAGTAGAATAAATTAAAAGTGCTAAATGACTGAAAATGAATTGAAATCTAAAAAAACTATGGAAAATGTAAAATTAAATGTTCAAATGTCCATGTACTTCTTGGCAATATGCTAAACTCTGAGACTATTCAAAACATTTTTTTTATTCTTATTTCGTTTTCTGTCCAATTTCTTAATTCGTCTAGGTTGCCTGGTTTAGTTTTATGCACTAAGTTCTTCAGATGACTCCACAAGAAAAACTCGAGTCGGGTAAGGTCGGGGGATCTAGCAGGCTAATCGATCTCTTCTGTTTATCCATCTTATTTAAAATACATTGTTTAAAAGCAAACGAACTTGTTGTGCATAATGTGGTGGAGTCTTGTTGCATCCAAATGTTATTATTGGGAATATGTTATTATCTACGAGCAAAATTCACCTTCAATATTCACTAATTCAAGCTTAGATGGAAATGTCATGAATTGAGATTTGAAGCAGTTACAGCTAGTATAATATTGTTTATAAAATGTTCCAAATATCTGTCACCAGTTTTTTTTTCGAGAAAAAAAAGACCAATGAAATTACTTCCAACCACAAATTTTCCCGGTAAATTGGGTATTGACCTCCCGGAAACAAGGGGATTTTTGGAGCCTTATATCGACAATTATGCCCATTGATCTCGCCGCTCCAACAAAATGTAGCCTCATCCGTGAATAGAATTTTATTAACAAAATTTGGTTTGTTATTACATCGTTCAAACATATGCATACAAAACTCTAGACGCCAATCAAAATTATCTGGCAATTCTTGCACCAATTTTATTTTGTAGAGATGAAGTGTTTCCTCTTTCAAAACCCTTACCACCTAACTTTGTGAAACTTAAAGATCACGTGGATCCTTTTGTACCGTCAATAAGACATCTTAGTTTTTATCGTTGCTTGTAGCTGTCTTGGGACGCCCTGACTTTTTAGAATTGTTGACATTCTCCGTTTGGTTGAATTTTTTAAAAATTTTACAAACAACTGTTCATTGCCCTGTTGGAGGACGATTGGGATTCGTTTCATTAAAATACATGCCTCCAATTTAGTTCTTCGATCACCATAGTCTGATATCATTATCAATGTTGTTTTCGAGTTTACCTGATTCATTTAGATTTTTAAAGGTGTCACAATAAAGAAGGAATTTGTTATAACAAACACTCTGTGTGTCAAAAATTAAATCAGTTGTAAAACAATAGAAACAAATGAATTATTGACAGTAAAAGTAGCTTACTTGTTTTACTTTGCGTTTATTTTCGGAAGTACTTTAGGAACCTTATTATGAAATATCTTCATTATTATTAGAGATAATGATACGAAATTTTACATCAGGAAAATGGGATAAAATAGATCTATCGAATGGATAAAAAATATACAGAGCGTTTCATTTGAAAAAAACGAAGAAAAAACTACACATCCGTATTGCCTGCTATACGATGAATTATTTGTTTTCATTTTTTGTTCTCATCAATAGAGCAATTTCAACAGCCATTTAAAGTTTAAAGAAAATCCTGATATTAATAAACATTAACGTAATATTAACAAGTGTCTAGGTGATGGATGTGCAAGTGACTTAGAATGATATTATGCGTATGCAAATATTACGTCTCTGGATTTAGAACGTTTATTTTCAAACTACGCCTTAGAATTTACATCCAGACGTAGAAGTTTGGCAGAGGATACTATAGAATATTAATGATGCAAGTGTACGCTGGCAACAATAAACAACTATTAATGGACATGATATAAGAGGTAAGACCCTGTAAGTTACATCATGACCATCACCAACGCCAGTCAATTTCTTATAACGGTTTGTATTTTGTCATTAATCATTATAGTGATACTTTTGATTATATCCACTTCTAGACAGAAAGAGTTGCCACAACATTTAAACGATAAAAGTATTATCAGATTAAATCTGAACAAGTCTACTGTTTCAGAGTGGAACGAAACAAACTCCCAACAAAAGCTTATATAACACAGCGCATCATATAAAACAGTCCATTAAAGTAGAAAGAATCGCTGTATAAATAAATATCAAAGCAAAACTAAAACCAAAGTCGTTAAGTCTGTTTTAAATATCCCATCCATTCGAAACAATAACAGAGCGTTCACTGAACTTAGAGCTTCGAATCGCTGAAAGTTGCGCTTAAATTAAATGGTCTAGACTCGCGTAGTTGGTACGGTATTACTGAAGCACTGCTCATATTAGTTGACCCACATTCAAAATTAAATCAGATCTAGAATCTGCTACAAATGTTGCGTCATTTTTGCCTACTCGTTCTTAATGCATAAAAAGCACAATGAGAAGACATTATTCGGATACACGTGTTCCTTAATGACCTCTCTAGGCTATATTTATCGTACGAATCTAGAAAAAATTGAGAAGATGGCACTGAAATTTAAAAAGCGTGGATTCGTTGGTATTAACAAAATTGTTGAAGAGAGATAGTTGACTATGAATAGAATTTAAACTGAGATACATTTAAAGCGTCGCCGAAATCCTGTGTGATCAGAACGAAAATCTATCTTGTAAAGTATACAAAAGTCATGATGTCAAATGTAACGCCCGCTCCCTTGGGAATCCATTCAATTTAAAATAATTGTCCAATCGGCATTCGTTACCGAAATATTCGACATAGAAATAAGCAATGATATTCATGTATTCAAAACTGTGGTCTTTTAACCTGGTGTGTATATAAATTGCTGTTTGGCCTATGTAAAACTTTCACCAGCATGATTTGCTATATACCTTAAGAGGGTTTAGTTTGGAGACAAAACTGTCATGGTTGGGCATTTGTTGGACATTTCTCTTTCGTGATGTATGTCTAAATATGTTTTTCCTTTAGTAGCTATTTTATTACATATGTTCGACCCCTGATAGTACAAAATTAACTTCAACTCGGATGTACCTCACTTTGTCTCAGAAGAAGCAATGACAGTGACAATCCTAACTTGAGGCATTTTAGTCAATCACATTTTGGTAACATTCCTTAGAGGATGATGCCTTGAGCAAGTGTAATAATTTTCTGTACCACGGGCGGCGTTAGGTAGTAGGTTGAACTAGGTTACTCTATTTAGAACAGAAGACAACTTTCTCCACTGTTCCGAGCTACTTTTAAACTTTGTTTAATCACTTATTTAACGGTCTATTTTCGCTACCAACGCTAGTCATTAGTTCTCGGAGATAAGCTCATCAGAGCTTGTGTAAACACTAACACTTCTAACCTAGAAATATTGTCGAACTTTGCTGTGGAGTAGGTTTGCAAATAGATGGAATCCAGAGCTTTACACTTTTGATACGGTACGATTTTACCTGTGTCATCTGGGCTTAAGATGCGTCACTGTCCGTCATTTAAACTAATGTGCAGACCCCAGATCTGAGGTCATCATGATGTCAAAACCAGGATCGGGTTTAGACGATATGAACAGTACCACTCCATGCACAGTATACAATATCTTACCTTGTGATTGTAGTTAGTGGATTCTGTAACATTCAAGGCTATATGACGGCTTAATGGTTCTAAACAATTCATATGAGGTTTGGATACATTAATTTGTGGATGTAACACTATACTTCATTCAATTATATAAGCTTATAAAAAATGTTTACCTGAGTTCGCAGAACAACCCTTTGTCGACTTTCAATCTTCAGACTTCTCCAACATAGATGCACGGTGCATTATAAATACACATATCGCGCGCCTATGCTAGTTTATGTGCTTATATTAAATGAATGAACTAGAACACAAATAGATTAGTGTGGTAACTACGAACCATTGGAATAAAATATACCTGTTATTTGTGTTTATTCTAGTAATCCGGAGTTAAACTCTGACGCCTTCCACTAAATATCCACTTGCCTGAAAAAGACCGTTCTACGTCTATCGATGTAACTGGCGGATATTTGAATTAGTTACATATTTTCAACGACACACAGTTATATCAGAAGTGGGATTCGAACCCACGTCCACAGAGTGAACCAGAACACTCGAAACCTAGCTGAATAGGCAAGGCAGCCTTGAGTCTGGTGTCTTAGACCGCTCGGCCATCCTGACATAAATGCTTTGTAACGTAAACATGTGAGATATTTTTTTTATTATAGTAGAAGATAGTATTTTTATTTGAATGTTTATTTGGTTTCGGTACAACTGCATCATCGTAAATAACAGAGTCCAATTAATAAAATAAAATAATCACAGTTGTCTTGACAAATCTATATTAAGACAGAACATTCAATTAATCAATGCAATATACGTCAAGGCGTCAACACGTGACCGAAAAATATTAATCCGAAGTTGACACGTGACAACCGACATCAGCATGCATACACGCCTGTAAGTTGTGTTCAGTATAAATTTAATTGTCAAAATCAAACAGATATTTTTGTTCACTTTATAAAAATAATATTTATTAAATCAACAAGTTTAAGACAATTAGTAACAAAATAAAATCCCAGTAAGTGTTAGGTAGCATGCGAAGAAATGCGTAGGTATGTAACGGATTATTTCTGACAAAAATAAACTCTTAGCCGCCCAAAATACGATTAAATATGTTGTTTGAAAACAATTTTCTTTTATCCATGTTTGTGTACAAGGTTATACCAAATAAAAGATTACATTCATTAAATATCAGTCACTCATATGTTTTGTTGACAGAATTGTTAGGAAACGTAGATTTAATATACCTCTCAAATTTCCATGAAGATTTTGAGAGCGATTCGTCCATTGGGAAAATTGTTACAAATTTTAGGAAGTAAAAAATAAACAGAAAGTTGAAAATTTACACTGTAAAAACTGTTATTCAGATTATATTGGGCAAACGAGGCAGACAATTCGAATTAGATTTAAGGACCACATGAACAAGTGATAGATCTAGTGTTGTTTTCCGTGCTTATGGCAACAACCATATAGTAGATATTAGCACAAAGTTTACAAACAATAGACTACTAGAAGTCTTTGAAAACTTAATTCTGTAGACATAGACATAGTACATGGCAGGAAAATTTTCGATTTCCACCCATATGTTATTGTAAAAAACGTACTACTGTTTATTAACCCCTTTCTGCATAGTGGGTCACATATGGCACAAACCGTTATTTCTTCCAAAATATTAAGTAAAATGCTTCAAATTCAAAGTTTAATCGCATGAGTGGTCATATCTGGCACATTCTGAATGACATTGAAGCATCTGGGGTCATCTGGTAAGTTTTACTGAAAGTTATTCAATGGCGGACTGTTCTTATCTAGGCAACAGCTGATCTGACATTTAGTGATTTTATAAGTACGTGTTTTATCAGAATTTTTTTCAAATAATTTATTAACAAAAATATATACAGTAAGTGTATAGAGCGCAGAAGGTGTATGTTGAGGTAAATATGCAGTTTTTTGATAGTTTGTGTTTTATTTTTATGAAATTATGTTCGTGCCATATATGGCACAACATGCATTCTGGACAAGATTGGAAAATTTTCTTTTATTTTAGATTTGTTATTCGAAATTATTGAGAACCTATGGATACCAGAATGTTTCATGGGAGTCGAGCTGCTACTAACGTTAAGGACATTCCAGATGGCAGTGAAGATCAAATAATGTCAGATGACGATTCTCAAGAAGATTATGTCAATTTATCTCCAGATTCTGATTACAACCCAGACACTGACAAAGAAAATGAGGATCCTAGTACACCACAGATCATACCTGAAACTGATTCGGATAGCGATGATGATATTCCCCTCACTGAATTAGTTTCAAAATGGAATAGAAATTTAAAATTAAAGTATATTCCCATACAAGAAGTCCGAACTGATGGACTTAATCATCTTCCTGTGTGGTGTCAGGAAAGACAGAGATGCAAATATCCACGATGTGGTGGAAAGAGTTTTATTAAATGTGAAAAGTGTGCATTGTCTTTGTGTTTGAATAAAGAAAGAAATTGTTATTATAGATTTCATGTTGAATAAAAATTAAAACAAAATTGTTACGTTACTGCATATTGTGCCAAATATGGCACACGTACCAAAATTTTTTAATTTTTTTTGTAATATTTTGGAGAAGGATTTTTTTTTACTATTTTTTACACTATTGTAACTTAAAACAGTAATTAAAAAAAATTTTGATTGTCAAAAAAAATTCATGCAGTAAGGGGGTTAATTCATTGCACAATAATCTGCTGTATAAAAATGTACGATTTAAAGGTGATGTGATATAAATCAAATGTGACTGTCAACTTGTACAGGGTTATCCAACGAAAAGGCCCACCCTATGTTTTGTTTATTTTTCGAGTTAGAAAAAAATGTTTTAAATAAAAGTTATAGTGACACAAATAAACTATTTTAGAATCCTTGCAAATAATACACAGGTGGTCCCATAAAAGCAGGACAAATCAAAATTACTTTTTTTAAATGGAACACCCTATATTTTTTTTACATTTTTTGAAATCTATACTAAATGTACACTCAGTTCCAAAAAAAGTGACGCACTTAATTTTTGACCTAACTTTTTTCCTTTTTTTTTTTTGAAAAACCAGTGGGTCTATTTTTAATTTTTTTTTATTTGTTGGTAGGTAATTCCTTTGTCTTTCAAAAAAAAAAAAAATAAAGAGGTGGAAATTTTTTCAATGCCTCCTGGATGGTAGTGGAAAAACTCGAACCATGATTTTTTTTAATTTTTGACTCACCCTGTGTATTAGTCAAGTAATGGTATGCTTACACTCTGTATAAAAGACGCTTATTTTTCGAGCATTTTGTTTTTTTTATTCATTGATTTATCTCTAAAATTGTCCGAATTACAGCTCTTTTGCTGAAACCTTGCGTATTACCAACTTTCTGAATTTATCGAGAAATAGTTTTGTAGTGAAATAAACTGATACGAATTTTAAAAAACATTTTTATTAAACACAAAATTATAACTGGGATAACTGCTTAATACCGTGTATTGCCACCCCTAGCAACTCCTAAGAGCTTCTAATCTACGCGGCATACTGGAAATTAGGTTTCTTATCGTTTCCATTGGTATACGATCCCATTCTTCCACTAATGCATCTGCCATTTCTGCGAGACTTTCCTCTCGCGAGAACGTACCCTTCTCCCTAATTCATCCCACAAATGTTCTATAGGGTTCATATCGGGGCTTCTCGCAGGCCACTGTAATGTGGTGATACCCGTAACTTCTAAAAAGTTTCGCACTATTGCTGCGGTGTGTGGTCGGGCATTATCCTGCATCAATATAAAATTATTGCCCACTAACTCTGCATGAGGTAAGACATACTGCTGTAAAATGTCAATGTAGATTAGGCCTGTCAACGTCCGCCTCACCGGAAAAACATGAAGGGGTGTCTTTCCATTCATTGAAATCCCTCCCCACACCATAACCGACCCATCATTAGAACTTTCGCATTCTGTTATTAAATTCTGATTAAACCTTTCACCAGTCTTTCTCCACACTCTTTTTCTTCCATCCACCATGTTAAGGCAAAACCTTGACTCATCCGTAAACAAGACATTCAACCATTCAGGAATATTCCATTCTCCATAATTTTGAACGAAATTTCTTCTAGCAGCACGATGTTCGGGCAATAATTTAGGACCTTTTGCAGGTCTCCTAGCTTTTAAATTAACTTCTTTTAGACGTCTACATACCGTCTGCTTACTTACTGCAACACCACGAATTCGACGAAGATCTTGCTGAACATTTACCGCAGTATTTGATCGGTCCTGTAATATCCGCAATCTCAAGAAGCGATCATCTCTTGGAGAAGTTTTTCGAGGGCGACCAAAACCCACCCTTCGAGCAGCGCTTCCTGTTTGTTCGTACTTGCGGATCGCTCTACGAGCAGTTGCTTCATGGACTCCCACTGCACGAGCGGCGTAACGTTTACTACGCCCATCGTTTACTAAAGCAACTAATCTTGCTACTTGTTCAGGATTTATTTGAGGCATTTTATGTAATTTTAGTCTCTAAAACTTTTTTAATGAAACTTAATTAATGACACAACGACAAAGAGTCAAATATGGAGGCATACAACACATTAATTGCTATGGCAACGGCAATTGTTTTTTTAAAGGCAATGTGATCCTACAACGAAATAAATTTGTGGGATATACGCAAGGTTTCAGCAAAAAAGCTGTAATTCGGTCAATTTTAGAGATAAATCAATGAATAAAAAAATAAAATGCTCGTAAAAGAAGCGTCTTTCATACAGAGTGTAAGCGCTTTCTATACCATTACTTGATTAACACACAGAGTGAGTCAAAAATTAAGAAAAAAACATGGTTCGAGTTTTTCCACTACCATCCAGGAGGCTTTGAAAAATGTATTTTTCTTAAATGAAAATTGAACTGAATCAACATTAAATTTAATGGCTTTATCCAGCTTTTACAGAATTGGTTTTGCTCCAATAGAACACCAGTTATATATCGACAAATACCGGACGTAATGTAAAATGTATTTTTATAGGGTTTATATTATTCTGCACGATAAATCGACTAATTATACATCGAGAGAGAAGAGTGTGTTCACCCCACAGAGAAAGTTTTCTATGAGATCACGTGACAGCTTTTACTTTCTACGGGTTAATACCATGTTATTTAATTCTCAATTGACTTCCATTAGAAATTATGAATTTTATTGCCAGTTTTAAGAGTTATGTGTGCAAATTTACATTTTGTTTTCGTTTTTAATTAGGTTAGTAATAAATCAAAAAGCTGTTAATTGCTCGTTTTTAAAAGAGCATAGTTTTTTTTTGAGGAAACTTTCAATACCGAAATTATTAATATAATGTTTGCTTCCGTAATTAGCAAATTAGTTTAAAAATGACGTTATTGTTTTCTGCAATAGCACTTCTTAGATGATTAATGATCATTTTAGACAAACTATCAATGCCACTTGACAATGCCATACAGTCAACAATTTTTTTGAAACAAAGATAAAAGTTTCCATAAACACCAAAATATTGATTCTTGTATTCGATGTGCGTTTTGCCAACCAAGTTGACATCATCTGGAGATAACAAAAACTATTGAATATTTTAATTATCTCCGGATGATACCAACTTAAGT